TTTAACCCATCTTCCCTCAGCTTTACAATAGGGAAAATCATAAGAAGAATTTTAATTTAGCAACATTTTTTGGTCCCCAATTAACCTAATGGCTATAATGTTGTACCTCTACTACTCAAAGAAGCTCAGCCAGTAAGTAAACTTTGTAGGTTATTAATCAAGCCATACATTTTTATTAAGGGCCTTTTACGGTCTCAGCACTGGAATTTTAGTGAGAGGTGATTAAAAAGATATGTTCCTTAGGAGAAAAGATAAAAACGAAAACATCAATTTATTCAGCAAACACTCGTTGGGATCTGCTACTGTGCCAAGTGCTTAATGGTAAACACGGGTGTTTAACATTAGGTCCTTTATGTTGGTACACACCAAATGTGTCTTTCCTGAATGAATAATTTATTTTCTACATATAATTTTCATGTTCTTTATTATCAGGAATTCATATCTCTAAAAGTATTTAAAAACTGTTTATGTGCGTATGTCATCAAACACCACAGAGATATCTTTTGAAGACATCAACAGTTTAAAATTCCTCACTGGTGAAGAAAAACATGTTTTACATAGCAGATGTTACAGTTTAAGATGGATGTGTGTACAACCTCTCTAAGGAAGCACTAGAACAAAAATTTAATAGTCACGTGTAAATATGCATGCTTATATAAAAATAACCCATCTCGAGTTTACCTGGCATGGATTAGTACCAGCAGGACTTGTTTAATTAGTAATTAATTAAATTTCCTGAAAACATACATCATTCCATTACTAGAAACAAGAGTAAAACTGTATGTTGAATAAAGCAACACTCGCACACTTAATTAAAAAGCAAATTACTTAACATACAATATTTTTATACTGCCCATCTTCCCTTAGAAGGTCTACATCCTCCAAAAAAAAAGCTGAACATAATTTAGGTCAAAGACTATATTAATACAAAAATGACTGAAATTTAACTTTCCTTCCTCTGTTTTTTTGTTTGTCTCTCCTTCCTCTCTTTCCATTTTTGCCCACACACATTTCACTTATATTAAACCTTATTCCATTAGAACTTCCTTGTGATAAATTCTAAGATACACAATGCTAGAAAGAACTTAAGCAAGTATATTAAAATCACTCTTAAATTCAAATATTAGAATGCTGTTGTTTTATAAAATAGATTCGTAGTTTCTATTTTTTAAATAAATTTAAAATTTTTAAAGTTTAGAGAGGGAATTCTGAGAAACTGCCCTAGGGTGGTTTGCTAGCCATGCCCAAAAGGTAGATTCAGAGACACAGTGTATAAAAGAACAAGTGGACTAAACTTTGCAATTTGTCTTGTCCCATCTGTTACAAACTTCACAGTAGGGAGCCTGGCATTGTCAGTTGCCTTAAATGACTGGTTGTGAATGCAAACATAAATTTGTGTACTTTTCTAGTTTTTTGCTAGAGTCAAAAATATATCATGTTCTTGGTGTTTGTGGAGTTTGTGGCAATTTGGGGTTTTGTGGCAATTTTGAAGACAAAACAGTGTAATCAGTAAAAAGAATGTTTTCCATATCATCATTGATCTGGTTTTAAAAGCTCTCTGTGTGAATCTAAAAACCATTTTAGAAATAGTTTTAAATTAAACATTATTTAGCCATGAGAAATAAATTCAGACAAAGAGTTTAAGGGAGCTGACTAGCACATACTATTCAGAAATTTGCTTATCTTTCAGGCAGTACCCTAGAAGATAATCCATTAATTATGAAAGGAATTTTAATCATGTAGTATGGATATCTTTAATAGACATCATCGTAACATATTTGGACTCCTTGAAATCATCTTGTGTGTCAACAAAACAAACTCAACTCACCTTATACAGATTTTAAATAATGTTTAAATAAGTTAAATATATATTAATGTAAAATTAAAATGTTAAGACCTTTGAAGAAACTAAGCATTAAATCTGTCTATAATCAGACTAAAGCATTTTATTCCAATAAGTTTTCTGAAACACAAATTACCTCACATAAAACTCATGTTCCAGTTTCCCTAAAAATGAGTTTATCTTATGTGCTTTAAAGTAAATGGATTATTAAATAATACAAAAGCTTAATAAATTACCAGCTGGTTGAACAATTAATTAATGAGATAAACCTGAGGAGAAAGCAATACTTACAAATATTATTTTAAAATGTAAATTGATGACCTGACAAGGTTTTTCATTATATATTAATATCTGTTGCATGTAGACATTTTATGTTATGTGTTTCATCTTTTCTGCTCATTTCTAAATTAATTACAGGCATTAGAGAAGCCATAAATACTAATAAAGCTAGATTCAGCTGTCGGCTGTCAAGTGAATCACACCATAGCCTTGTTCATACACAAAACAGTGTCAAGGAGTCCAATCATAGATCATACATCTTTGAGAAAGCATAGTAGGAACAATTCTTTACATAATTGTAACCCATGTTGAAATTAGCAAAGTTAATTAATGAAAAGAAAACATTAAACAGTTTTTCTTTTCCAAGTGTCATAAAGACTTTGTAGAATACTTATAATGTATAATGTGGTACATTTTGCATTATACTTTAGCTACAAAAGTTATAAACGATTAAGCTTGAAGGAATTGAGACTCACATTTAGTATATGCTTGATTTTTTTGGTCAAAAACATTTTATGTTTATTCCTTTCTCTTCATTTTGAAGATTAAGGAAAGATAAAGACTTGAACTTGGCACTTTGCATATCTCTTCAGTTTATGCAATAGTCCTTCGAAGGCTTGTGAAAAATTCTTCTAAAAGGACAGGGTGAATTACTTGGCTACGATATAGATGCCAATATATATACAAAGAGAGCAAAGCCGTATGAAAGAAACAGAAGGATCCTGCTCTCCTGCTTAAACATTTAACTGAAGGAAAAAGCATGAAGAAAGCCAGAGTAACAATAACCACGTACCTTTGTCATATATAATTTTTATACAGAATTTCAACTACCAGAAGATGGAAGGTCAATAAATTAGGAAGAATTTATCCATGAGTTGAGAAGAAGTTAACATATGCAAAATGTGTAAATGATCTTCTAAGTGTCTATTGCCTTTGAAAAGTATCCTTAAATTAATTGAATTAATTAATTGAATTGAATTAATTGACCAGTTAATTTCATGTCACCTGAGGTTTCTCTATTAAAATTTAAGTAAGAGATTCTCATTTGGGAAACAAATCACTTCTAAATCTTCCAAAGAACATTCATAAACATAACCAGGGTGTGCTGAATTTAGCTTGTGCCAACTTATGAGAGCCAATTGTACATGTATTTTCACAACTCTTGCATTCCAGTGCTGTCACAATAGTGCTTGGAGTCAAGTGTGGTGGGAGATTTTACACCACAGAAGTAAAAAGTTACTATTTAAAGGTTAATAATTTAATTATCCCAGCCAGCCTGAGTGTATTTTTTTTATCTTTATACAATTCTTACTCCTTATAGAGTAACTGAGATGGAGAGGTCATCAGCCCAAAGTCATAATGTGAATGATGGAGCCAGGATTTATGCTGAGGCAGTGTACCTTCACAGCCTTTGGTCTTAGCCATGTTGCTAGTCTGCTTCTCAGTAAATATTTAGTCAAAGTTTATTCACCAGTATGGACGGATGACATTATTTACTGACTGCATAAACCCAAATTATCAAGCACTTTTTCAACATTCTCTCAAAGATGTAAATTCAGTATATCTAACTTGAAATTTAGGAGCATTAAAAAATTAGGAAAACTATTTTATAGAACCAGAGCTTTTCATGGGGACAAGTGCTAGGGTTCTCTGCTCCAGAATTCTGATGCTTAAAACATTGTGTATTTGTTTTAAATGGAAAAAGAGGGTGCTGGCAGAAAGATCTCTGTGGTTGGTTAGGGACATGCCAGTGTGTCCAGAGGAGTTCCCTGCCTGCCAGGAATCTCAGCAGAAACAGTGATGTGAAGGGACAAGACAAAATGCCAGGTAGAGACTTACTTTACATAGTTCTTAGAAATAAAATCATAAGAAATGTTGAGCCATGCAGTGATGAGAATTACTTTTATATCACCCAAAACCCCTTTTCCTGAAATCTCTGCTTGATGATACTGTCCAAATTTAAAGTTTTTAAATATTTTACAAAGCACTTTCATAAAATAGCCAAACAATCCTGAAATCCATCCTTCTCTTGCCATCACTAGGTTTTCCTAAGGCTCTGATATCCTCTACTTCCGTTGTTGATTCTCCTATTTTCATCTTTAAGTCTTTTTCTTTGGCCTATGTTCTTCCCGTTTTTCACAACTTGAATGATTGACAATGATTTCTGAGTCTCCCCTGAGCTCTGGTACTTGGTAAAGTACAGTTAAAATCTTCTTGAATGAATGAGTCACTCTCCAATTGCCTGATGAAAATACATACTTGGAGGTATTTCATTACCCCGAAGCCTGAAAACAACCTATTGTCTTGTCCTTAAAATAACTACCTTTTCTGAGAATTTCTGTTAATGATACTGAGAACCAGCATTTATCGAGGGACTATCACATGCCAGGCACTTTATCTACTTCTCATAACTATCCTATGAAATAGATGATGTAATGAAAAAAACAAGGACAAAAGCACTGAGCAAGTGAAGGAATAAAGATGTGAACCCAGATCATCTAACTCAAACCAGTGCCTCTCCCACACCTCAGGCTTATCTGTTTAAGTCACTTAACCACACACAGTTCCAGTGTTTTTAACCTGTCAGAGGCCCAAATAACGACAAATGCAGCCAGAAAAAAACATGACCCGAAATCACAGGTTATTAGGGATGAACAAAAAGAATTAAAACTCAGTAAAATCAAAGAAAATACATTCATAGCCAAAAATAGAAAGAAGGAGATTTTTGAAATAGCAGTCAAGATTTGCTTCTTTGTTTGAAGCAAGTTCCATCAATACAAATATTAACTTTGCTTGATTTGGGTTGGAATCTGAGTTTTCAGGCCCACTTCTCAGATTCTATTAAGAATGTAAAAGAGACAAATAAAGAAGCAACACAGTCAACTAATATATTTTATTTAAAAATTTATTTCTGGAGCCTATAAATGGATAAGTTCCAAAATAGTAATACAGAGTATTTAACAATGTTTTAATATTTTTTACTCAACAGACTGCCTTTGTGTTTTTCTTTCCATAAACAAATACGCTGGATTAAAACAACAGTACTCGAAGTTATCTTCAAGTTCAAAGCCTGAGTTTCTTGCATACTATTTCCATTTAGAGTTTAGTAATTACTTAACTTCACATTATTCTGTCACAAATGATAATCAAATGTCCTGCCTCGTAGTAAAAATCATAAAACTATTATAAGCCAAGTCAAAAGAATTTATAAAGTTAATATGAAACAATAACTATACTGATATACATTTACAATGGGCCCTATCAGAAATATGCGAAAATAACAAGCTTTATTTAAAGAATGAGGTCTCTGGGCAGAAAGGAATGAGGGGTCATTATCATAAAAAATTATTAGAAAGATTGTAGTAAAAAGAAATCAGCCTACGATTTTAACTGAGTAAAGGAGGAGAATGGAGTATATCATTATAGTTGATGCAGTTAGGAAAATTCAATTAGCATTCTACCACAAACTGGTTGACTACTTCGAGAGCTCAGAGTAGACTCTCAGAGCATTCTGTTACTCTCCGACTAAGTTTCCTTACATGGGGCATAAACCTGCATTTATAACAAAATATTATAATGCTATTTAATCTGACTGTTGGCAAACAATAGAAAAAGAAACTGGAAATTAGTGGAGTCATACCATCTCACTACCCCTGAAAATAGGGGCTAAAATGAATCATTAAGGAACAGTATTCAGAGAGCACTGTATTAACTAATGTGATTTATAAAATAAACAAACTTCAGCAATTTTCAATGGAAAATGCCATAGTATTTGAAAACTAGGAATGTTTTGATGCTGATTTTTATCAAAGTGGTACTCTAAGCCATTAAGTTGGAACAAATTCCAAATTCACAATTACTTGCATCACCTTAGTTTAATAATCCAATAAATGACAAAAAAGACAAATAAAGAAAAGAGCATCATATAGCACAGTAGTCTTGTTTGGCTCCCTCTGGATAAAATCTTCAGTTTGCCCATAGTTTTACCTAGAAATCCAGTTGTGGAATCAAATTGTGAATCCTATCAGAGATAAAAGCAAATAAAATATAACAGCTGGATTCTAATAGTCTACATATGCACATCCAAGTAATTGAATAACTTGTTATCATAGTACATTTATAATGACAGCTTTGTGTTTAATCAATTCAGAAGCCTGTTTTATCAACAGTTTTATCAACTATCTTGGGTGGTCAGCCTGATTACTCCATGCAAAATACAGTAATTCTCTCAATGAATAAAAAGCTCTTTCATTATCCAAAAACATTTCTTTCAGCCCCACAGAGTAATTAAAAAACTCAAAACTATTTAGATGTTATTCCAATTATGTGGATAAAAAAACGATTAACAGTAAAAGTAATTACTTTGTGCCATTGCTCTCCCTGGTCAAATGGTTGATTTCTACCCAAGTAGAGGATTTCATCCAAAATGTAATATGGTTAGCAGTTAAATGTACCTTTATTATTATTTTTTTTTTGAGATGGAGTCTTGCTCTATTGTCCAGGCTAGAGTGCGGTGGCGTGATCTTGGCTCACCGCAACCTCTGCCTCCCAAGTTCAAGTGATTCTCCTGCCTCAGCCTCCCGAGTAGCTGGGACTATAGACATATGCCCCTACACCTGGCTAATTTTTTTGTATTTTCAGTAGAGATGGGTTTTCACCATGTTGGCCAGGCTGGTCTTGAACTACTGACCTCAGGTGATTCACCCACCTTGTCCTCCCAAAGTGCTGGGATTATAGGCGTAAGCCACCGCGCCCAACCTTGGACCTTTACTTTTAATATCCTTTTGTTTAGACAACTGATTTTGAAGTAAAGTGGAGTCTATTAAAAGTTAAGAAAATAACATATAGAGGTAGTAAAATGTGATAAGGACTATAAATATGGATGAGGAAAAACTACCATATTAAAACATAGCTAGAAAATCCTAACAATGAGAGAGGGCTAGGTATGGACTAGAAATATTACACATAATTTCATAGAAATTTTAATATCCTGAGGTGTAAAGGCTCTGACATCATAAGATCTTTTGTATAGTTCAGTGTCTATGTGGCTCATACACTTTAGATCTATGGTTCTTCACCACGATTATGCATCAGAATCACCTGCGATGCTTTTTTCAAAATATTTATGTCTAGATACCTCCCCACAAAATTCTAAATCAGTATATTTAAAGACAGAATCAGGCATGTATATTTTTAAAAAGGTCCCCAGCTGATTATAGTGCACAGCTTAGTAGTATATTGCTTTTGAGGCCAAATTCATTTTTGAATAGTAAAATTTTAAAAGCACATGGAACCAGAGAAGGTTCAGAGAAGCTTGACATTCAAGATAAATGTTAACAAATGGAAGGAGACACTAACAAGAAAAGGAGTATGTTGTTAGAGATAAAAGGCTCCAGGCTGTTCAAATCTATAAGCACTTTTTTCAGAAGTGATCCTTAGGAAACTGAGCAAAAGAGTATACGTTTCCATTAAGTGAACAACATTTGGCTGGTTGAATATGAAGTGCTTTTTGATTGCTTGGTTAATAAATTACTAGTAGTCTCTACTATTGAGATTTTTAAGACTACTCAAAATAATCATCTGTCTTGAGTCTTTAACAATCTTTCTAAATTAAATTCAATTAAATTAAATCTAATTAAAGATATATTGGCTTCTACTTATTCCTCCCACTTACATGTGTGAGACAAGATGAAAAATGAAAAAGTATGGCAAAAATAAACCCTATAGTTATTCCAAACACATTAGATACAAATGGATGGGAATCAAGGACTTAGGATCTCTATTTCAAAATGAATAAAAGTTGAAATTCTATTATTTGAGAATATTAGATCAAATTTCTTAAAGTTAAAATCATAACCACTTACCATTTCGGCTAATAATTTGTTCTGGGTTTTAACTTCATGGCCTATTTCAATGGAAAGCTATAAAGAAGAAAGTATACACACAATTACTCACATAAAAGTATTCAAGTGTTATAAAGTAAAAATAATGTCATTCTAAGCATACACATTTTCTGAAATGAAACGGTCTTCTAAACACATAAACTCTCTTCTTCTGACACTTTTTCCAACAAGATTAATAAAAAATAAATTTGGAACTTCTACTCCTCCCAATTACGGACATTTTCTCTTTCCTCTTTATTATAATTTCATATTAATATTCAAGTCCATCTTTTAATTTGGTATATACTACTTCTCTCTGATTCTCTTACACTTGCATGCTTTTGTATCTTTATTATATTCCCACAAAAGCATTTATCTGTATATTTCCTCCTTATATTTATTTTTTTAACTTTTATTTTAGGTTTGGAGGTACATGTGAAGGTTTGTTATATAAGTAAACTCATGTCACGTGGATTTGTTGTACAGATTATTTCATCATCCAAGAATTAAGTCTAGTACCCCACCTTCTTACATTTTAAAAGATCTACAAGTACCCATAAAACCAACTCAAATCTAGACAAAAGTATTCAATATTTTCCTAATGAAATGTTGCATTACTTTAAATATGTCTAAATTGATTATTTCCTTAGATTTTAAAGGTCTTTGCTTGAAAATAGGATAATAAATTGAAAAAAATACATATTAGTGTTATTTACATCTTGAAACTCTGCTGAAAAGAGCCATAGCTTATAAAAAACAATACTATAGGTAATTATAACAGCTATTGAAACCAAAACCTATCTAATACTTTATAGGACAAATTCATCAAAGGCTTTACTTCCAAGATGATTGAATAAATAGAATCATTTACTGAAAATCTTGGTAAGCCATTGTAAATATTGTTCTTCATCTGTGTGAAAGTATATGAGATAATATTGATATAAAACCATACTAGAATTCTATAGATCAGAACATGAGCTTTCTTCCCAGATTTAACAACTCAGAGATAATAAAGTAGCTATAAAGCTAGACTGCCCACATTACCCAACTTCTTTCTACCATTCTCATTCATGGCAAGAGAAAAAATTTCCAGGACATCACAACTTTCTTCTAACAAGTAATCTAAATTATCTACATTGGAGGGTTTTTAAAAGGTATTTAATTCTTAAGTCCTTCCAAGTGTTGTATTTTTAAAATTAACATTATACAGTACTACTTAGTTCATAAATCAACTTCTTTCGGTTTAATATGACTTTGAAAACAATCCTGTTTCAAAATCTGACAGTCTCCAGATGGAATGTAATTTGATTTTTCAAAGACTATAATGAAATATCAAATTTTAGCCACATGGGCTTCTACTGAATGCTTTATAAGTGAATATCGTGTTTATTATAATGCAATATCAATCACATATATTAAAATAATCTTTGTGTAATTCCTTTGTTCAATATAAATTTACTTAATACCACCGATAAGGAATTATGCTAGGTACTACACTGACTATAAAGTAAGCACAATAGAAAACCTACATTCTGATAAATTCCTTTTACATACAAATAATGCCAATGCAAATCACTATGAATAAGTGCTACAGAAATGGCACAAATGGTTTTATGTTCATAAGAAGAAAAGTCACTTTTGGAAGTGGTAATTAGGTAAAAGTTTGGAGGGAGGGGGTGCAATGAGGAGAGGGCAATCTAGATAAGCAGCACTTCAATTGATGTAAGAAGGAAGCGGACGCCTAAGGCAAAGGGATAGTGTGATACGGGGTGGGAAAGTGACAGCACACACAGGACACAAAGCATACTTTAATTTGTCTAGCAGAAAGCACATACACATTCTGGAAGTGTGGGAGACAAGATCAAAAGCTAAGATCAATTTTTGAAGGATTTATCTGATTTAATCAAGCTAGAAAGCATGAATTGTGGAAGGACACTGAAGACTTCTGGGAAGGCAGGATGCAGTTTTTAAAAAATATTCTAAACGAGGACTGTGGCAATAATTATGTAGCTCAGATAATGTGCAAAAAACCAGGAAGAGATAGGTTAAGAGGTTCTTCCAATAATTCAACTAAGAAAACCAGGGGATAGTATTAGAAATAGAAAGGCAAAGGTGGAAACATTAAAAAGACATTGAAAGACTCAGTGACTGAAATGAAGTACTAAGGTCGAAATAAGAAAGATCAAGATTTATAGCTTAGAAGACTGCATTAAAAAAAGTGAAAGAGCTACTTGGGGATAGAAGATGGACAGCTCTGTTTGAGACATTATAGCAGACAGCATACAGTATATAAAACAAAGCTGAAGATATTTTTCAAGTATTAAAAAAAAAAACCCTGTCTTTTGATGTGCCACATTTTCTAACTTACTCAAAGCACAGTCTAAATTTTGAATGTACTTTGACCTCACAAAACTACAGTGTCTAAGTAAATGAATTCCTTAGGATGAGGTCAATAAGAATATACAGTTTATAACTATATAATACATATGTATAGAAATATATGATTTAAAACACATATAATATTTGTTATATACTTACAGATTTTATAGCAGTTACTTTGCTTCTCAGACTTTCAGTGAGTCTCTCATTTTCTTCTTCACAGGCACTATACCCACTATTAGCATAGCCATAGTTCCCATAGTTGCCAGGAGGTACTCCTTCACCTGCAAGGATCACAGACACAAAGGTAGTTGTAGAGAAGCCGCTTTTGAAACATTGATAGTTAGGAAAGAACTGAAAAAGACCCCTGGAGGGCATTGCAGACCACATATGTCTCTAATATTCACATTCCAAATGAATTTTAAAAATAAATAACAAAACAGAGATCAGACCAATTCTTTCCATTACCCTCTGTTAACCAAAGAATATTCAGTTCAGTTCATTTTAATACACATTCATGGATTGCTTATTGATTGCCCAGAAGATACAAAAATAGGTACTAATACACAAGGATATTCAGGATACATTCCCTCCTCAATAGAAACATGTATTTTAATAAAAGTTCTAAAAGCAGTAACATCATCTACCCACTGAAGACATGTGGCTATGAAGAGGAAGGGAAAAAGTGGTTAATACAGTAGGAGGGGAGCTTATAGCAGTGAGGGTCCTTTACTAGCATCTCTTTCTTTTAAATAGACAGCTAGACAGGGAAGAGACAAAGGGAAGGGGCAAACTGAAGCTCTAGGAAAGAGACAGAATAACTTATGCAGAATGTTAGCTGAGAGTCAAAAGGGAGATTCATTTATTCTTCAACATATATTTGAAGAATTACCATGTATCAGATTCATCATTCTTTCTAGGTGCTACTATATGGAACTCTAAGGGACAAGAATGCCCACCACCCTGCCTAATACAGTACTTGATAGTCATCAGGCTATCAAACAACAGATGGAGTGCGACTTAGTGAATACACACATGAATATGTTGGCTGATTCAAAGGAAACGGCATAGTTCAGGGTTTTAGTTAACTACACTTTTTTTTAAAAAAACATAATTGATGCCATCAGTTTTCTCAGTAAAGGAAGAAAACAGGCTATCTGCTGAAGAATGGGTGATCACTTGGAATATACAGTAAGGGAAATGATGGAGAAAAGTGACTGGGACCGCAAAGGATTACTAAAGATAAAACAAACTTGTTTGAGGCAATATACCATAGTGGCTTCAACCCTCCCAGGTGTGTGATTTTTTTCTACAGACATGTGCCCTAAGTTGGTCCAGCAGAAGCTGGATAGTTGGACTAATGTAGAGTTGCAAGTTTATAGTATTGGGGTTGCAGAAAAACAGAGCCCCAAGAGGTTGAGACTGTTTGCCAAACGAGTGGTTGAAGATTTGGATTGTGGGGATTGGATTGGACCGATATTGAAGTATAGCAGTGGCTCGAGAATGTGGGGAAAGGGATGATATCAAAACTAGAGTTCGCAGAGCCAGCTGGGCATGCTCACATCTATAATCCCAGCTACTCGGGAAGCTGAGCCAGACAGGATCACCTGAGGCCAGGAATTTGAGACCAGTCTGGGTAACACAGGTCTCCATAAGCTCAAAGAGCAGATGTAGCAGCAGTGACAGGAGGTAACAGCACTGATCACTGAAGGACAGTCAAGGTGTAAATAGGAAGTTCTTTCAAGGCACAATACAAATTTCATTTTCCCTATGAAGCAAAACTCTCACTGATTTCTTACAGCTCTAATTGTATGTAACATTAATACTGCACTCTGTACAGTACTATAAGGGCAGAGACTAAGTTTGTTTGACTCATCACTGTATGTTCCCCCATAAACATACAAACACATACACACTGTAAGGCACATTTGATGAACATATGATGTGACCTAATTAATGAAAAGAATCTGAGTTCATTGTTATTGAACTTTGAATGTGCATATCTTTGTCGAGAATGGAATCATATTGCTTCTCTGAGGGCAGACAGTATCTCACGCTCCTATATCCTCCCTGTACCCACTAAGTACTTTATATGCAGCAGATACCTAGGCAATATCCAACACCACAAAAACCACAGCAAAATATTAAATAAGTATTTTCCAAACAGAAGAGTTGTACTATATGAATTTTCCTGCTGACACACTATCCATGAAGTGCTCCACATGTGTTATTATAAAAGAACTCAAGGAGTGGGCATATTTTTCCCCTCAGTCAATTAAAATCACCATTTAAAACTGCATTCTCACTCTATTAATCAGTAATACTCTGTGCAAACTCTAATAAGGGCCAAGATACTTAAAGAAAGAATAATGTCTTCTTATTTTGTGTGGCTGAGGTTCCGAGTATGTAACATAACATTTACCCAATAAGTACTGACTGGTTGAATTCAATCATTTGACAACTTCACCAAGAAATTCACTCTAAATTAATAGTTATTTTTTCTTTCCTTTGTTTAGTTGCTTTCGCCTATCTTAATCTTAATTAAGTGTGCTTCCATGCTGTTCTATTTATTCAAAGTGAAATTCTTGTTTATTGTCCAAAAATATGTCAATACACATTTCTCCTATTAAAGAGTTGATCTTCTCTCAAATTATGAGCCACCCCAAATACAATGAATAAAAAAAACAAAAACAAATAAAATGCTAGAACTGCTATTCTGAACAGAACCACTTCTCTTCTGGTGGTGTACTGCTATGAAAAGTTGTAAAAAAGCTAGTGAGCGCTGAAAATCACACTCAGCCTTTGTTAATTTAGACAAATGATACTTCTTTTGGATAGGTTCTATCAGTAAGCTAACAGAACCATTTAGAGACACACATGAAGTGTGACAGCTTCTGCCTATGGATATCTATCAGATTCACTACAATCCCAAATTTAAAATTTCAGGTCAATATACATTGATACTTAAAAACATGAAAAGAAGTCCGGGCGCAGTGGCTCATGTCTGTAAACCCTGCACTTTGGGAGGCCAAGATGGGTGGATCACCGGAGGTCAGGAGTTCGAGACCAGCCTGACCAACATGGCAAAACCCCGTCTCTACTAAAAAGTACAAAAATTAATCAGGTGTGGTGGTGCGCACCTGTAATCCCAAGTACTTGAGAGGCTGAGGCAGGAGAATTGCTTGAACCTGGGAGGTGGAGGTTGCAGTGAGCTGAGATTGCACCACTGCACTCCAGCCTGGGCAACAGAGCGAGATTCTGTCTCAAAAAGAAGAAAGAAAGAAAAGAAAGAAAAGAAGGAAGGAAGGAAGGGAGAGAGGGAGGGAGGTTGGTTGGGAGGGAGAGAGGGAGGAAGAAAAGAAAAAAATGTGTAAAAAAAAGCCTTTGTTACTTCACATCCATATAAATTATAGTAATAGCAGTTTTACCTAAGTAATCACCTCTCCTCTCAATCACAGGAGAGCGCTTTAAAAAAAAAAAAAAAAAAAGGAGTATGGGGTAGTGGGCTCTAAATTAGTGAGATTCTAATTTAACTGGCTGAGCTGAGGTCCGGGTAACAATTTTAAAACTTCCCAGGGTTGAGAACCATTTCTCAAGTCATTTTCCTGCAATTTAACATGGCATACTACAGCAGAAAAATACTCAAAAGGGCCTAGAGGCCCACTGATGAAATCCAAACTCTTTGGTCATGAAATCCAGACTCTTCAGCCTCACATGCAAAGATCTCCACAGTGTGATTCCGCATCCCCTGAGCTAGGAGTGACCCGAACCACATCTTCAAATAAACTGGCTTAGTTATAATCCCTTACTTTTTTTAGTTCCCATTTGGAACTCACTTCCCTCACTCTCCATTATTCAAGGTCTACCTCAAATTCCTATGTCCCACAAAATACACAAGGATCTTCTCCACAAAGTATACAGTGATCTATATCTGAAGTCTCTGAGACCATCACTTATGTGCAGAACTTATCTGGTATTTGGATGTATAGCGACTACTTTGTACTATAATTTATCTTTGCACATATTCCTACTCCCCACCTAGACTGGAAGCTTTGGGGAGCACAAACAGGGCAACAAACAACTGTATACCTAGAGCTTACTCAGGCACACAATAAATCCTTTTTTGTCATTAATGATGATGAACAAGAAAAACATTTAGGCATATAAAACTAAACTTGCTCAAAATTATTTTTTTTCTCTTCAATGTACCTGGCCCCTCTTTCTTTCTATGATCCAAGTTTTCATAAAAACTTCATTTAAAAAAAACTTTCTCATACTACAATTTATTAATCAATAACAAGTCTATAGTTATTGGCAACTTTCATTGACTAAATATCTGACATTTTCGGAATCTTTTTTTCAATCTTATAATGACTGAGGTAGGTAACATTCTCTTTTTTCAAATGTTTTATTTTCCGAAGTATACTGCACTCTAATTTAGCAGTCTTATTTAAAAAAAAAACAAAATAGTGTCCTAAGAGAAAGCTTCAGAACCAGAAAATGCTGCTCTGATAGCTGTCTGTTACTATAGAGGACCATTAAAATTCCTTGTGCCTAACTTATTCTTGCTGCTGAGCCAGCTTCCTAAACCCCAAGGTCAAGATCAAATGTTAAGTCACCAAACCTTACTACATTTTACTGCCTTAACCATGGCACAAAGTTCAGATAAGAAATCGCCTTTGACCCAGATGTTACAGTTCCAGGACCTTTAACAGTAATGACACGTACATTTACCTTTGTAACTCACTGTTACCAGACTAACGACCATTATCAGTGTGCTTTGAGTGCAACTACCCACTCTTCAAATTCGGCTTCTGATGAAACTTAAGATCCAGGGCCAGTGGAGAAACAGAAACCGGAGTCGGGCTTTGGAAAACACAGCAGTGTCCATAACAAAGCTCAGTCAATAACACTAAAACACTAGACCACTGAGATGTCACCTGTACACACCCACCCCAGCCAGTCCAATGCTTTCTCTAGCCTACCATCCAAACTTGAATCTGACTCAAACTTAAGGAAGCTCCTAGGATCTGGGACAAATGGTGTGTTTCCACTCGACAAGGCCCGACTCCCTCTGAAGATCCTGCTTTTTGGACCAAATGCCAAGAACAAAACAGGTTCGATTTGCTCCCGCGCCCAGCACTGCCGGTTCTAGGGCCCCGAACATCGAACCTCGGCCCTCTTCTTACCCAGGCCTGCACGCCTCATCCTGCCAGAGGAGAGAGGAAAAAGGTGGGCGCGGGGGGTTAGGTGGGTAGGAAAGAGCTATGGGTGACCCGAACCACGTCTTCAGTACCAGGACCCGGCAGAACACCAACTTCTTCCAGCAAAGCGCCACGACAGCTGTATACTCTAAACACCGCGCCGGCTGATGGCGTCACTAGGGCGCTCATTGGAGCCCTGGGAAGAAGCTTGAATGGCATTCTGGGAAATGTAGTTCACTGACGCATAACGTGTTGCAGGAGGCGTGGTGTGAACCCGGTTTCAGGAGTCGGCGAGGCTTCCGGAAAATGGGGTGGCTTCGGCTGCGGCTCTCACTCTGGGTTTCTTATCCAACATCCCCGCTGCTTGTCTCGTGGCCCTCCGGGTCGCTGCTTTCAGTTTATTGACCACCAAGTCTAACTAAACTAACAGATCTGCTTCTCCGGACCCACAAGAGGTTGATTGGGGTATCTTTCCTGATTCAGCCTTGTACTCCCTCCTACCTCCAGAGGTAGTGCAGGGAAAGTTAGAGAAAACTTTGTTCGGGTTTCTCAGTTTACAAACAAGTAATCCGACATCCACAAAAGTAACAGATTTTGTACCTCACCAGTAAAGGAGAGAAAACCAGGTTCCTTGGAGTAAGACTCCCGCTCAGATGGGAGCAGCCCAGGGAAGGCGTGGGGTCTCATCGGAGACACTGAATAATTCCCTGCTACTGTTACTGCATCTGTTGTACTTGAGGAACCAAGACTTTTAGTTGTTATAGGGACCAAAGGACCCCTAAATTCCCTCCCACTTAACTTTTTTTTTTAACTTATGCAAAGGTTATTGAAATACTGCTTACACAAGGCATTGCGCCAGTTATCAGGGTTAATCCTAGAAGTTCATTTTGTCTCACAGGATTATTTATCATGAGAATACCATAATCATGGTTTTCGGAGAAAGAAAAATCTGATACACAGTAGGTAATCAAAATCCACTGGGTGTCTGCGGTTTTGTTGCTGCTGACGTATGTATGGGAGTGGAATCGTCTCCACTCCACAAATATGTGCTCTCTGATCATTTCGTGTTTCTTCGCAGTTTCCCAAGATGTTATTAACCTTGACCACAATAGTGGCACAAGTCTCTGCGTTAAGTTGCTTTTGTATAAAACACATGAAAACTACTTTTAATGAAATTTATTAACCTGAGAAGGAAGATTTATTCAATAATGTTTCGATAGAAAAAAAAATCTTCATTAAAATTAAACCTCCATTTTCTAAAAGCAATGGAATTAAATGAGGATAAAATCAGGGACAATTACAAATAAAAGTTGGAGATTCAGTAAGAGATACTAGCGAGATATCCCTTTACAACTTTAAATCTGTGCCAGTCCTTTGTTTGATTACAAAAATGCATGTTTTATAATTAAACATGTTTAAAAATTGTCCTAATGAAGGCTTGCTGATAGAAAATGTAGAAATTGTCATTTTTGAATATCTGTTAATAGTTACAAAAACTAGTCATTTGAATTACCTAAAATATATTCTTCCTTTACATGGTAGTAAGACATAAGAATGAAACGTAGTTAAAAGGAAAAAAAATATATAATGTACTAAGAATATAACTGAAGTAAGGCAAAGCTAGTTCATATTGAGCTTGTTACCTAAAAAAAATCCAAATTATTGTTTTTAGCTACCATCGCCAGTATCAAATTAGAGATAATGTCTTGAAAAAAAAATGCACTCAAAAGATGAGGCAGGAAAGATGAATTTAATGTGCAGAAAAAGAATTATTAAATGTGACCATAGTTGACATTAGCGATCGGAGGGAATCATTTTCACTTTTCTCATTGTGCTTTTTTCCTTTTTAAATTAAAATCCCTAATGCTTCTTAGCGATTGAAAGCAAATAAAGTTCTTAGAGATGAATAGCATTTCGAAGCTCTTCTCTATTTTCATAGGATAATCTCACAGAAAACATCTAATGTTCCTAGGTCTCTAGGAGATAAAGAACTAAAAATTACTCAAAATGATATTAAGTATTCCTTCTAGTAATTACAAAAGCAAGAATATAAACAGGAAAAGTTTGAATCGAGGTGCACAATTGGAACTTTTCTTTCTCCTATCTGTCTGCCTCCTGCCCATTTGTCCTACCTCTACCTGACCAAATTTCAGGACCAATCCAAGGGGAAAGAGCATATCAAACTCTCAAAACTGGCTAAATAAACATTAACAAATTTTCCAATCATGAAGTAAATTCAGTATATTGGGCATCATATTTGAACTGTAACAAAATGTAAACTAAAAACAGAAAGCTCTTGATTTACAAACAAGCTATAGAATGAAAGTTTATAAGTTGGTTGTTTGGTGTTAAAGCATATTTTCCCTGAAGATTGAAATGATGGTCAGATTCCCAACTCAGCCCAGAAAACACATGGCTATTAGAGTTACGGGCTGGCCAATCAAAGTCTGTGTAACCCATAGGACAGCAGAAATACCACATATTTTCAGTGAAGACCAATAGAAGAAATATAATGTTGTAATACTTGTGATAAAATAAAGCAATGCCATTAAAGGAGAAATTGAGTGTTTAAAAATTATTTTGGTTATTCATGTTTGAGGAAGAATTAGTTTTACTTAAATGTTTTAAGAATGCAAAGAATATTTCCAAGGATTTTCCAAAGAGTCACCAATTTGATCTTTCTTTTCCATAATTTGGGAATATACTATCACTGATGGCATGCTTCTCAGCCATGGTTAGTAAAAATTAGGCACACAATTCCAATCTTAAAGTCTTCAGCACAGCCAGACACATAATTTCTGGGAGCTCAGGGCAAAATGAAAATGTTATGCCTTCAGTTCAGAAAACGGGGAAAAAGTGCAGCTAAAGGTATTCAGATATAAAACTTTTCTTTCTTCTGTAATCTCTCTACCATCCTTTTTACCCTTCTCACACCAACTTGTCATGGTGTTTTTATTTGCTATTTAATATTCTTCTGTGTAAAGAAAAAAAAAATTATTACCATTAATTTTACCCTTGATCTTTATATTGTGCAATGACAGTTTCAAATGCAAACATAAGAGCACATTACTCATGAAATTACTAAAATTGCACAATTTGTATTTTGTACCTTGATATGGTTTAGATATCTGTCCCAACCACATCTCATGTTGAAATGTAATCCCCAGTGTTGGAAGTAAGTCCTGGTGGGAAATGTTTGGATCATGGAGGCAGATCACACATGAATAGCTTACCATCATCCCGTTGAGTGAGTTCACACAAGATCTAGATGTCTAAAGGTGTGTGCACCACCTCCTGTCTCTCTTGCTCCCACTCTCACCATGTTTCCTACCCTCTCCCACTTCACCTTCTGCTATGAGTAAGAGCTCCCTGAGACTTACCAGAAGCTGAGCAGATGCTGGCATATATGCTTCCTGTACCATCTGTAAAACCATGAATCAATTAAACTTCTTTTCCTTATATATTACCCAGTCTCAGGTATGTCTTTATAGCAATGCAAGAATGGCCTAATAGATACCTCACACATGAATCTGTATTTCATTCTTACCACAGCGGAGCAGTCAAAACACTGCATCAAAACTAAGTCGACTATTTTTATTTCATGTCTTGATATGCACATATTCTACCAACATTCTACCTTCAGCCTACTGACAAGTTAGGAGGGACTTAAAAGGAAGAGAGCAAGGAGTTGCCTTAACTATTCTTTTCCTTCTATGCCATCATTTTTAATACAATTGGCTAATACAACAATGTAAGATTAAAATAGCATGTGATAGGGTTCCTCGGTCATTTTCTTCTTTCTGTGGAGGAAGTTCTGGTTCAAGCAGAACATGTGGCCTTTTGAGGCTGTCAATGTCCATACTTACTCTGACACAAAGCTAACACACCTTGCACTCTCTTTGAGTCTTGCTGAACTCCCATGCATCATGAGTCCACTGGTATTCTGTGTTCCTGGGGCACTGCAAATGTGCTATTCAAATGAGGTGGCAAAGAAAAATGAAAATGCATGTTGCATATATCTCCTCTGATCATGGGCATGCTGTCTTGTTCCATAAGACTTTATTTACAAAACATAAAGTCAAAGGTAAAATTATTAAGAATTTCAAGACGGTGACCACAGAGCATTAAACCAAGTATGGAAGCTTTCCGATCAAGGAGTCTTATGCAACTGCAAAAGTTGCAGGCCCCTGACCCTGGCCCTGGTCTTCAGAAATAAATTTTCAAAGGTAACAGGGCCATAATTGGTAGAGAAAAAAGAGGGAATGAGTGAATACAGAGGACATATATATCAACAGTTAGAATTAAAATGAAACGTTTAAATTGAGCAGTGAAATTCACAGAGAAGGAAGAGAGTAGAGTATACAGGTGCTGCCCCAAGAGAAATAATAGAAGAAAATAAAGAAGTGATAAGTTGCATACTTCTCTCAAACCACCGACCAAGCCAGTTTCTGTCTCAAGTAAGTTCATTGTGGTTGATGAGCCATAGATGAGTAAAACTCCAGTGTGTATAAGCAGTAAGAAAAACTGTCCTCAAGGTGGGCATGATGCCAGCAAACTTGAGTGATGGGGCATCATTTCAAGGATGAGGCTTTTTCTGTGTTTCATGCCAAGATGTTTCACTCTTCCAGCAATTCTAATGTATTACGAAGTTCTCATTCTGGGAAATGATTACTTCCTTAATATCAGTTAATCAGTAGCTGTGATTTTTTTTTTTTTTTCAGAATATCTGGCCCCGCAGCAGAACATTAATGTAAAGCTAAATTTTAAAATGAGTACTTTGCATAGGCTGCCCTTTTAATATTCCA